ACACACACACATACACATACACACACACACACACACACACATACACACTACACACACACACACACACACACACATATATATATATATATACGTTATACACATGACATACACATATATATGCGCATCTGTATGCGCAACTACTATACAGAATTACAATTACCAATACAAATATATACTCACATTAGAGTCATTGAACCCTGTTTCGATCATAGGAGAAGACTTCGGGAGCAACGGGTGGTGCGGGTGTGGGATTGGCTGGGTCGTCCAAGCTGTTTAGCTCAGATGCTAAGACTGCTTTGCCCCAGGATATGACTGATAAGCTAATCACTGCCATGATCAAAGACGAAGGTTTGTGCACTCCGAGATATACACACACATATATATACACTCACTCACTACACCACGCTCTCTCTCTCTCTCTCTCTCTCTCACACGGGGCACTGGTTTATTGTGTTGAATCTTTTGTCCACGATTACAATGCTTTCTGCTCTATTGCCTATACTGTATTCCACTTCATGTTTGGGTTGACCGTATTTATATCTATTTCATGTTTTGGTTGACTGTATTTATATCTGGCGTTCCACTGCTATTTGTGTATTGTCTCATCATCCTGTGTGCTCACGCAGACAAAACTGGCAAAGACACAACGGCGGCAGATATCAATTCAGATATTCTCAACGAGGAACTGGCTGTCGACCACGAGATCTTTGCGGAGATTGAGGCCGACGACGACGCCAGCAGTACGGGCACAGGCGTGCCTGTTCTGGGTATGATTCGGGTTCCTGTTATAATGTTAAGGTTTACGGATAACTGCTGTTGTTTTTTGGCATGTTATTGGCACATGGTTTATGGTTCGGGGCCCTTGCTTTGGGTATGGTTGGGGTGCAAGGCTATAGTACATGTGTATGTGTTTATATTAGAGGCTAGAGGTTAGGGTGTGCTGTATGAAAACCTGTTCTGTGTGGGGTTTAGGGAGCGAGATTACCTTCTTCATTTTTGTTAAGGGTGTAGGGTTTGTGGAGTGTCGAGGTGTACTGACACTTGTTCAGGGTATGTACGGTTCAAAATTTAGTTTAAGGATAGTTTTTGTTCTGGCTAGGTCTTTTTGTTTATCCGGTATTTCGTACGCGTTATACACGATATTCTTGTGTTTCGCACAAATGTATACAGACACTAATTCAATCCCGATTCTTTCCGTGGCCATTCCAGAAATCGCAGCGGCGGAGGCTGCTGTGAATCTGCCCGCCGAATCTGAGGTGATCAAACCCATTGGTCGACGAGAAGGTTTGGAGAAGCTGTACAAGAAATACAAACGGTACGTGGCTTGTTATTTGGCACATGTTTGAGTAATTCTTGTGTGGCTGTTGTTTGGCATATCTCACATGTCCATTAATTGGCATGTGTTTATAATTCGACTATTTTTGTTTGGCGTTTGGTTTGTTCATGCGTCTATTGTTTAGCATATATTGGTGATTTTTTTGTGGCTGTTATTTGACATATGTTGATGATACCCATGTCTACTTCATGCCAAGACTTTACATGTGAATTGACTCACTATTCAGAAATGAAGCTACTTGACATAGTCTCGCATGTCCAATTATCTCAGCCTTTCACCGTCATAAAATAATGAGATAGCTTCGAATCTATATATATATATACATATATACACACACACACACATACACA